ATGTTTGTCAATATTAGACTTCAACTATTACTTTAATTAAATATGTAATTGTAAAACATATTTAAAAAATGATATTTTGAAAATATATACTGACAAACATAATCAAGTCGCACATAGCGTAATTTGTTTTTTATATACTACCTCCATTCCTTTATAACTGCAACAATTTGACTTTCACGTTTGTCAACACACAACTTTATTTGTAAATATATATAATTACTAGTAGTAAATATTATAATAGTTAATATTTTGGAAGTTAACATTAATAGAAATTTAATAATATTTTATACACAATAATTTGATGATATATATTAGTAAAAAATCATGGTCAAAGTAACATTTATGAATAGTACAAAAATCAAAGTGTTTCAACTATTAAAGAAAGGAGGAAGTATTAATTAAGAAATGGTCAAAGTAGAGTATTTGAATAGTTTGGGGGTCAAAGGGGTGTGATTAAAAAAGAACAGGTGAAGTTTTAAGCCTAAAATATATGTTTATAATAAGCGTGAAAGGCTATTATCTCGTGAGTTTATTCATTGATCTATTATTCACAAGTACTTTTTGAGTATTAGAATGTGACAAAGTGCAGTGTTGTAATAAAGTGTGTGAGGGTATTGTTTGAAAAGGTAGTGAAAGTTGTCTTGGAAACATAAAAACACCTAATTAGGAACAAAAAATTGAAGGTGTACATCTCTTAGATAGATAGCAAGTATAATAACTTACTTTATATGGTTTACTTCGGGTGTTTGTCAGTTTCTTGTGGAGTAATTTATTGATCTTTTTAGGCTTCGAGTTGATTGTGGTGGACGTTCTATTCCTTTCTAGTGTTCTTCACTATTGGGATGTTCCTGAATATTTATCAACTTATTGGATTTGTGGCAAGCTTGCTTTGTTTGATATATCCAGTTATCTCTGTTTTAATAGATTAGCTAGGTAAGCATAGTAAAATACCCACTCTCATACTTTCCTTCACATTTTGCCTTTTGTCTTGTGCCAAAATTTCTCTCCATTTCCTTTAAGAAAAGAGTTGTGTGGTTAATATTGCTGCTTTCATTTTTAAGTTTAACTCTATCACACTATTTTATTGTGTAGTTAAATATCTGAAGTCGAAATGGGGAGAAAAATTCGGGTCAGTGGGAGTAATAATAATGAGCTTTTGCGGTCAGCTTAATCTTTTAGCTTATTAGGGAGTACTTTTTATTTTAATCAGATAAAAAAAGATCCATCAGCATGATTTGGAAGACAGAAAATAAAAACAAGATCAGGTTGGACTAGACCACTCAAATTTACACGAGAAATATTTGGACCTGAGTAGATTGGATGATATATTAATAATAAAATACCTATATTGTTTTGGCTAGTTTTCAATCTCATCTGATGCATTGGCAGTAGGTATTATGTGAGATTTAATTAGAGTTAAATGTTATTACGACTCTTATTATTGCTGTTTTTTTTTAAAAACTTATAGCTAGAACAGCAACTACCAACATTTATGACATTGCAGGTTTTTATGAAACACGCATTGCGTATTATTCTTGGAGAGGTGCTCAAGGTTATCGATTTGCTTATATTCCCGACTACTGACCGGGTTACTATGTTTATATGACCTTTGGTTTGCTGTACTCATCTTCTTTACGCATGTGTATATCAAAATATGCCATCATCGTGCTCCAACTCCCACTTCTCTCGTCCTTTGAACTAAACTTGTTGTACTGCTTCATGCTTGCTCCCTGGTAGAGTCCTGATGTAGGCGAAGAAAATGTGGGTTGGTATGCTTCCATGTCGAATAGCTTTGGCACTTCAAGATCTGTGACTCTGTGAGAGTTTGTATGAAAACCGAGTGATTGGACAAAATAGTTGAAAGAGATGGGATTAGTTGTTGAAAACATAGAGGAAAGTCACTAAGAAATGAATCTTCAACTTCTTGAAGAAAAATACCCCTTTCATCCGGACTACTTCCTCTTTCCTTTCAAAATGAAGTTCTCATCTTTATGAAAAGATTCTTTTTAAAAAGTTATGAAACTATTCTTACCTTTTATCTATTCTTTTGCTTCATATGTTATTGTATGATGCCCCCAGTTCGCCACTAATCTCTTTAATTGAGACTCCTTTAACTGTACACATTCAAACAACAGAAAAATCCATCCCATTACCTTCTCCTTTGAATCAGTCGGTTTCTCTCCTATGTCAGCTTTTAATGAAAATATTGTAACAAATACGTATCAGAATATGCAATAAGTGCACTTGTAGAGCACATAAGTACATAACAGTACATAATAACATGTGCAGAAGTTCAAAAAATAGCAAACTTTTTTTACACTTAAGAGTGCACTTCTATTCATTATCTATCCACTTTATATTATATGTACATTTGCACATTTTTTGACAGTGTGTGTTGTGATTAAAGTTCATATAATCCATCATTTGCAAGTGATTAAAGGCGAAGATTTGTCCTCACTTTTTATGGGAACACTACAAACTGATATTGATCATCCGTTGAATTGATTTAAAGACTGGAATCATACGATGACGTTTTGAAAATGAAATTAAACTTTTTCCAGATGCAACTCTTAACGTTAATATGCAACTGTTATTTTATTGCAGAATAACATGCAACAATTTGGGTCTCAATATGCAATATAAATAGCGTAAAGATGCATCATACAAACGTTTTCAAAATAAACACAATTTATCATATCCGCTCCTTACACACATATAGAGTTAATATTCGAGTCCAAAATTTTTGTGACAATACCTAATTTTGTCCTAGACTATTAGTTTTGTTAGTTTTGGTATTCAGACTTTTAATTCTTTACCAAAATTAGTTCTCTATTATTATTTTTCTAAGAAAAAGGATAAAAGTATTTCCCCTAAATCTTTAAAATAGAAAAATATAACCATTTTTATTTTCCAAATATCTGATTAACTGTGTTTAATTAATACACTTTTTTTAATTCTAATTCCTACCCAACTACCCAACTCTACCCCCTGTCCCATTGTTGGCTCGAGTCGCATTTGTCGACGGTCATCGTCAGAAACTGCCACCGTTAGAAAATGTCATCAGGGCTCCTTTTTGAATTTTTGATTTATAAATTATCGCTGGTCATTTAATGAGTCAGGTTGCTTTTGTATGAGATGGTTGACTATAAGTCTATTCCTAGGACTTAGATTTAGAAATTATAATTATTTCATGATTTTACCAAATATTTAAATTGAATTTTAACTTAACGTTTTTAAACATGTACAGGATTAGGTGTTTTTTTTTGGGAAAAATTATGTGAAAAGTTTTATAATTGGTATTTTGTAATAATTATGATTCCAAAGAAATACCCATCTTGTCATGGATTGACATTGATATCAATATATTTTGAAACACTCCAATAGACTGACATTGCAAGTTTGATTTTGCATCTAAATCCGTAAGAAAAATGTCTTTTTCTAAATGAAAGGTATTTTATTAATCACTGTTTTTTTATTATTGTTATGTTCATTAGTAACTTGTATTTCAACACAAATTACTCCTGTTGAAACTTGGATAAAAGGCCCAATTGTTGTTGCACAAGGTCCCCATATTCTCGGGAACGGCCCTGCTTCTTTCCGTGTTTATTTTCCTCAACATTGTTTAATACTTTTTATTTTGATTCTATGTGTTTACTAGTATGTGTAAAGGACATCCAAATTGAGTGTTTTTTTATGAAGATACCATTTCGGGGGTATTAACCAGTTTGATTTGGTTATCACTAGCTTCTCACCCGTGTGATGCACGGGACATATATAAATAAGGGATGAAATATATCATTTGTTGACATTATTAGCCAATGTATAAGCAAATACAAAGAGTGTAGATGTAATACGCGTCCAAAAATTTAATTAAAAAGAGATAATTACAACTCATAAATGGTATGAAATGTATTTTTTGGGAATAAGAAGCATGAAATAAATATCAAAATAAAGTTTCTGTATTCTATACATTTCGAATTACTTCATTGCTTGTAAAGAATATTGGCAGTACGACAAATCAATATTTTCAAAGACTTACAATTTGTTACTCTCGATAATGTAACAAAAAGTTGAACATGCGTTAATAACGATGGTTTTAATCATAGTCTAACATGCGACAAAGTTTGACATTGACTCCTATTCATAGTAATCACATGAGAGGTCATGATAGAAAATCATATTTTTTGAAACTTAAACAATAATATCTCTGTCCCGCTAAGATTGTCCTGTTTTACCATTTCGATCCGTCCCACTAAGATTGTCTCATACCAAATTTTGCAAAGTTTGTGTGACTATAAATCATTCTTACTTTATTCTTTATCAATTCAATATCAACCACATAAACCACTTTTTCTTAGTTTGCATGCCACTCTCTCTTGTCCCATTGTTAGCGGGACGGAGGGAGTAGTTTTTAATCTATCATCAAATAAAATCAAATGGTCAATTTGAAAAACTAACTAAATCATACTTTTGAAACATTGAATACATAACTTTTGAGCATAATTAATCATTAATAATTAATAATAAAAAATATCATAAAAAAATTGTCAAGTAAAAAAATTAACTCAATGATGCTTTTTACTCTCTCTGTCCCTTAAAAAATTAACTCAATCGTTGTGCCGGTTAAATTTGGCAAAGGTTTTAAGGACAGAGGGATTATAACATTGAATACGTAACTGTTGAAAATAATTACTCATTACTAATCAATAAACATATATTTGTAATTAATAATATGAAAAATAATTTAAAAAACATTATTAGAATTATTAAAAAACTATAACAGCTAAATGACTTAAGCCCGTTACTATATTAGACTTATTTACGAGTTCAATGAATTGGACCCAAAAGCTAACTAATTTACGTAAAGTCGTCAACGACCATTTGTGCACAAAACCCATACTTAGGCAATTGATTAGTTTTTATTACCGAGGAATGGCCGAATGAATAAATTGGATCCAGAACTCAAAATTGGACCCATGACTTCGGCCATTTGTTCAACAGCCCAAGTTATTTACGGAGTCTTAACCTAGCCGCTTCAAACCAACCAATATATAATCCTACATATCTAATGCGCCGCTTTATGAATCCGTACAGTCCAAGAGCTCGTAGGTTACAATCTGCCACTGTTTCCAGAACACTCCTTTCTCTCGTCCGTCGTTTCTCAATATGCCACCGTCTGGATCTTCTTCCTTATCTTACCATTCAATCGACCTTTTCAGGCGTCATGTATAGCGTGCGGTTACAACAGTTTGGAATCCATTGCTGGTCCGACCTTTTCAATTAAACGCTTACGCGTTTGCCTCTCTGTCGGTATTTGGTACATATCTTTTAAATTTTACAAAATCTCGTCCTCAATTTCATTTTCGATGTGTCGCTAAAGTCAAGTTTTCCATGTCAATTGATTACCGATGTTCATGCTTTTCGTATAAACATGCAATGTGTTCAACGGTTTGAGCAATGTGTTAAACATGCAATGTCTTGATTGTCTTCTGACCTTCTCTTTGTCATATGGCCAAGTGTGTGTGCGGTATATTTATAAACCATAATCGCTGTGTTTGTTTTTTCCTTGGTCATTTTTATTTCATTCGTTACAATCTTAACTAATTATTATATTTATGAACTAATAAACATAAGTTTCTAATCACAACAATAAGAACTGTGTGTTATGTTGGGTTTTAAATATTACTCCGTATGTTTTAAAACCACTCTGTTATTATCATAGTTGTTTCACCATATGCATAGTAAATCATATCATTTTCGAGTAAAAAGCCAATTTGAAATATGCTTTCTTTTACAGCTTTACTGAAAGCTATGAACTTCCTGCTTCTTTAATCAATTAATTAATAATATCTATATGTATCAGTCTATAATTTAAAATGCTTATTAAGGTCTGCTTTTAATCCTTGGTTAGCAAGATAACATAACCAAAGTCTTGATATATAAGGCCAAATATCAATTGTGCTCGTATAGTACATTTGTTTAATATTAGAAATGATTTTGTATTGAAAATTGATATGATATTATTAAATTACTGGTAAGTATAGTAGGATAGTCATGTTTCTTACCAAAGTCCAATTTTATTTTTGTCCTGATTTACTCTGTTTATAACTTAATTCATCAAGTGTAATCTATCTTCATTCTTTAAGCTACCTAAGTTGTGGCTTTTGGAACAGTTTTAATATTATTAAAATATTTTTTGCCAAGATGCTCCCTAATTACATGTGATTGAATTATTTGTTATGACTTACTTTACTCATTCTAACTTCATTCACTTTCAATTTTATCGATTAATAATGATTCATTTAAGCAGACACCCATGCTTTAAAAAAAATCTTTTTTTTTTTAAATATTGTCCAATTAGGTAAGTTTTGGCCAAAACAAAAAGAGATAGTTTTCCATTTTGAAATTTTCTTCCTTTTGCAATCCAATACCATTCTCTAATTTCTCTTGCAACAATAAGTGATAGATATACAAATATATTTTCACATAATATCTTTTACCTTTAACATTGCAGGAATAACTCACCAAGATTGTCTTTTACCTATTATGTACCTGTTATTGGTATGGGTATGCATTAAACCTCAGGTATATGACCCTAATCTTTTTATTTTCTAATTATTACATTTAAACTTATTATTCACGTTGAAACATGATAAACTGCAGCTAGTTACTTAACAAATATACTCCGTAGTTAGTTTTGAACGCATGCTAGAAACGAACTTAAATTTGATACATCATACACCATACACCGTATTTGATTTCTTAAGTATGCTATTTGATTGTCTTAATAAATACACCAAAAAGTTATCCAAAATAACATTGTGTATTTTACATTGACTATTGTTGATAATACTCATAGGCTCTCCCAGTGTTTTAGCAGACATGTGACCTGCAAAAAAATGTAATAGCTTTAAATCCATGCGATGCATTGGACATAAAAAATCATGTTGGTCTAACATTTTCCCATCATCTAGCTAATTTTATGATTCTTTGGCGTTAGTGTTCATGTAATTAGTTAATTACTAATCAAAAGATTGAAAAAATCATGTTGCTTCAATACTTGAGTCCTGCAATGATAATGAGTGACATATATAAAAAAAACTTACCTTTGTACCCATAACACACGTAAACACACTCATTACTTACCTTTGTCATTATTTTGGATTTGAATTGGAGCCTGTGGCAGATTGCTAAGAAATATAATACTCCGGATTGCTTGGTTGTGGTGTGGTGTGGTTGGACAAACCACCATTTGGTATTTATAGAGACGGATGGGAGTGTCATGTGAGGCAATTGGGTATTAACCAATGGTTAAATCCGAACACAATCTCTACTTTTAGATTTTATGGTACAAACATTAAATGTAGTCTTGCAAGATCCGAATGATCATATATGCAATTTGCAAACAAAAGTACAATGCATTTAATGTTGTGCGGCTCAAGAATTGCATAGAGATTTTATATGTGGCCTCTACATTTTTAAGTACAATTGGTGTCCTTTTTTATTGATATTTGTTGCTCTGTTTTCGAAATGTTGGAGAGAGATTTTAGAGCAATCATACTTTTTTATTGAGCCACTAAATTAATTTTTTGAGCCACACAAAGTTGCATGGGACATTGGGCCTGGATTGAAATTAATTGAGCAGAGCTGAGAACCTGCACCATACCCGTCACTGAACCCATTTCACAGTGACCTGACCCGTTACTCGACCCGTTACTGTACAGTGTTTGGGTGGGAACACTGTACAGTTTTTCTTTTGGCTTTGTATAATAGAAGATTAAATGAATAAATTCAGACGATTTAAAACACTTATTGGGCCATAACATATACTCCGTATAATTGAGTGTTACTTACTATGTGTTGGAGGTATTGGTCACACACTCTACACCTAACAGTATTTTTTTGCCGGGGAACATCCCACCTTTTATAAGTATGTATTATAAAACTTATAACTATTGTCGTAAATAAGACGAAGCGTTGGAAATTGGGATGTACTCGTAAAAGAAATCATATACTCCATACTTCATATCACTTTTTACACAAAATATTACTACCTCCGTCCCATTTATATTGGGACGGAAGAGGGTGACACGGTTATTAAGAAAAGTGGGTTTGTGTGGTTGATATTAATTGATAAAGTAAGAATGATTTAGAGCCACACAAACTTTGTCAAATATGGTATGACTAGTATGAGACAATTTAAGTGAGACTTTCCGAAAAGGTAAAACGGGACAATATAAATGGGACGGAGGGAGTATTAAGCATAACGTCCACACCTTCTATCAAATTTGGAGGGTTGGGCTAGACCCCCCCTCATTTTGATTGTAGATAGTGACAGGCATGTCCAATGTTTTATCAAATCTAACCTCGCATCGAAACTATTTAAACCGTAATGTGTGTATGATTTGGTTTCAAAACTCGCTAAAACTGTTCGGTACAGTTTTATTTCTAGACGTATGGCATCATGTCTTACCAATATCATCAATTCATATCGGTATCAATTGTCTAGGAAGAAAAAAATGGTCTACATCACAAATTTCTACCCTTAAATATGCATCACATTTTAGCCACAATTCAAAATATCAATGTTCGATTTGATGCCTACTTTTCGTAGTAGAAATTATACATACGAGTTTAAGAATCTGTTTTTATTTTATAGTGTTAATGACAAATCATTATTTGGTTCAAATTTAAATATATAGAATTTATATGGGAAACAGATACTTTTTTAATGCATTGGTAAGTACATAAAGTTAAACTAATGAAAGAAAAATTATTGTTGGAAGAAACATACTTCCTCCGTTCTTTTTTATTATCAATATATTCCAGATGACCGACCTTTTGAACCTACCAAAAATCGGCTCTGATTGACATACTTATTTTCGGTTAACCGAACACAAACGTTTCCTAAAATTGTAATCATATGATATTTCTATCAGTGAATTAACGTAAGACATATATTTGAAATGATGTAGTTAAACAAAACAATACGACTTTTTGGTATTTACGGTCGGTTTTCTGTGTCGTCCACTCCTACTGGGAGCAACCATTTTAGTATGTTGTACGGCCGGTAACTTCAAAGTATAAATTGCATTTTAGTATGTCATTAAACATCAATATACAACTCTTATCCAAACCATTTCACCGATTCTAAGCATTCTTAGGGGCGATATGTATTTTAATCACATGTTAGATCAGGAATTTTTGAAGATTCCATTTTGAAAAAAATGGAAGCACTTGTTTAGCAGTGTTGTTATAGGTAGGTAAATGTAGGTTCATTATTGGGTGACAGTTTCTTCATACTCCAACTGGAAAATTATGCCTTAATTTGACAAATGATAAGTACTGTATTGGCAAAGTAGACCCCTACTTATAGATTTCTACTCTTGATATCACTACAAGAAAAAGTATCATTAGTGTCCAAAGTTTTAGTGTCGACATAAGTGGACACAAAAGACACTCTCTTTGCGTCGACATGTGGTCGCAAAAGACCCCAAATATTTAACCGTTTGGAAGTTCCAAATTTTAACCATTTGCGTCAACCTGTTGTAGCTAAAATGGAATCCCGATATTTTTAATAATATTAGCGTCGACGGAGTCAACGCAACAACGAAATGTAAAAAAAATAAAAAAACGGGTAGACTATAGCGTCTACGGTCGACGCTAATACTGAAATACAATTAAGGGAGTGTTTGCAACTGCTTCTGCTAAAAAAAGCACTTTTGGAGATGTAAGGAAAACGTGATTAGTGGTAAAAGTTGATAGTGTTTGAGAAAAAAGTGATTTTGAAAAGTAAAAGTTGGTAGTGTTTGGTAAAATAAATGCTTTTTGTGTAATAGAAAAGGGAAAAACACTTTTCACACGTAAGCCGAGAAAAAGTAAAAATTGGTAGTGTTTGATAAATACGGAGTAAGTGTTTTTTTAAGCCGGAAGTTTAAAAATTTATTTGGTTGCAAACACTCCTAAAGGACAAAACAACTATGGACGGTCTTCCTCCTTCCTGAGAGCTGGCCGGAAGAGTTCTTCTCAGCTCCCTACGATTCTCAGGTAATGGTCTTCCTCCTTCCTGAGAGCTGGCATATACGCCAATGGTTTTGACTTGGAACACCGAGGAACAGTCGTTTTCTTCCATTTTCCCAAACAATAGGAAATACAAATCTGCCATATACGCTAATGCTCTTAAGATTCTTCCATTTCTCCGAGAATGACGAAATCGAATGGTGTTTCACACGATCAATCTACTTATATTCATTCATTCATTCATTGACTTTTGCCCTAATTTTCTGTTTTGTCTTTTTTAGATCTGAAATATAAAACCCATTCAAACTCAATGAATGGCGTTTTTATGGATTTTTTTTAAGCAACATGCACTCTACCCTCCTTTAAAATAGATTATGGAGTTTTTTAAAACTGAAATTGCATCTACGGTCAAGTATTAGATAATTTGAAATGAAAAAACTAAGTTAAAAATGAATAACTACTTACAGAGTATATGTATGTACGTATAAATAACTGCTTGTGATTATTGTCAACATTATTATGATTAAACTGTGCAGCAGGTTCCTATGATACAAAGGGAGATAGACTGTCCTGTGTAGGGGTGGGCAAACGGTTCTAGAACTGCGGGTCGGGGCGGGTAATGGCGGGTCGGGGCGGGTAATGTGCGGTTCTTAGTTTAAGAAAAAGAAAACGGGGCGGGGCGGGGCGGGTAATAATTAACACAGGTTCGGGCCGGTTCCCTAATTTCAAAATAACGGGTACCCGGCCCGGCCCGTTAATTTATACTTCAGTTTTAAAATTACCCTAAGCCCAGTAAACCTTCTTAAATCATCTTGAGCCCAGTTAACCATATATCCCAGCGACCAGTTAACCTCTATTCTCTGAGTCTCTATTGCGAAATTTGAAGAGATCGAGGCCCTGAAGATCTGAGTGAAAGTGTGAGACATAAACAGACAAATCATTGCTCCGAGCCTGATATCCGGCGACTTACCTGCGAGGCCGAGACTTGACTGAGATCCTTCGATTGATTGCTAGGCTGTGAATTGTGAACATCGTGTTCTACGGTTTAAGACTCCTTAGTTTGCGAGGCCGCCACTTCTATTTGTTAAGGTGTGTGTTTTACTCTACTAGATAGTTTATAAGATGCCCTGCGCTGCATCTTTAATCTTTATGAGCAAATCGTTACCTCTATCAAGTAATCTAGCTACTCTATTCGAAGTATTTAGGGTTGTATCAACTAAAGATATGATCGATTTTGAATTTCTGTGCGACCTATTTTTCAACCAGGACCTCCAAAGCTATTTTTCTTATAGCTTTGTAATTGTAATACGGAGTAGCTTTGTCCTCTTTCATTCATCATAAAATTCAATGCTTTGATTTTATTAATTAAAATGTAATACACTCATTGGCATTACTGCATTAGATTTCCTAAAATTTTGTTTAACTTTTGCTGCTAAAGTAATGTTTGTTTTAATATTAACTTACTACTTAGTAGTAACTACTAACCAGATAAAATTCACATTTAGAGCTTCCATTTGTTCCTGCTTGTTGTTAATGATACTGAATGCTATCCAGGGATACACGTGGCCGGGTAATCCTGCAGTATTTTAGCTTATGTAGTCTATACATTACATAGAATACAAACTGCAGGAGTTAGAAATAGGATCTCATGTACATTAGTAGCTTCATACGTTATTAGTTTGGTATATTGTCAAAAGCGTCACTTTGTTTGTGAATATAATCTATGAAAATCAGTTCTGCTGTCACTTTGTTTGTGAATATAATCTATGAAAATCAGTTCTGCCATTCGACTCTAATACTCCGTACATTTTTACACTTTTGCTAAATTTTGGATTCATCTTTCAACAACAACAATCCAGGAACCGAAAAACCCGGACCGGACCGCCCCGTTTCAAACGGGCCGGGTAAGGTCCGGTTCCTATTTTCAAAATTGCAATACCCGGACCGAACCGACCCGTACAATGGAACCGGCGGTTCCATTTTATTTTGCATTACCCGCCCCGACCCGGCCCGTGCCCACCCCTAGTCCTGTGTGCGCTGAAATTTCAAGGTGACATTGTTGCCTCTTATTATGTGATATATCTGCACTTTAGCTTCTAAGCTTTAGAGCTGTATATATCTCATAACATCTCACACATGTCTATGCCATAGGTTTTACATTTTCCATATCTGTGCATTATATTTTCACCATTGTGGTATCCATAGTAGTCGATGGCGTAGTTGGCGAGCGCCATTTTTCGCCATTGGCGATTCAGGTGGTCTTCGCCAAGATTTATGGCTATTGCGCAGGGGATACACAGAGCGTTGCCAAAAGAGCGCCATCGCCACGCCATCGCTTTTTTTTGCCAAAAAATGGCGTAAATTAAAAAAAAATGGGCCCAGACTAAGACTCCAGAAAATTAATGGCCCGTTGAGTATGTGGGATGACTTCCCAGCCCTACCTGAGTTTAGTCACATGTGACTCTGAACATAAAAACAAAAAACCCGCTAATAATACCAATTTCGAGACTGTGTATGTGCGTGAGAGGGTTCTATTTGCGTTAGATTAGAAGTATGCGATGACTATTGAAGGAGTGACCACCCAACGAGCATCCAACGAGCAGCCAGCTATCGGCGGCGACCTCCTTGCAACCTGCGACCACCCAGTTGTGCTTCCTCAGAGTTTAAAAAAAAAGGTAATTCCTCCCAGCGACCACCCAGTCATATGGGTCTGATGACTAGACGTGAGCGAGGAGGGGATGACTATAAGTATTAGTCAACAGATCATAAAGATCAAACTTTAAATTCTATTTTTTAGACATTAACTAGTTATGGATATTAAGTTGGTTTGATTTGGATTATTTTTTGTACTACTTTGGTTATTTAACAATTTCACTCTTAATTGGTGGTTAAGTCATACACGTATATTGTCTATATGTTATGTTTAAAGTTTTTTAATGTTATGTTTTACTGGAGCGCCATTGGAGCGCCATTTTGGTGCCATCGCCATCGCCGCGTGAAATTACCCATGCGCCAAGTCCGTCGCCGTGCGCCGTGACTACTATGGTGGTATCACTGGTATGAACTTATGAATCATCATTTTGCAGGTTTTCTCCAGCTGATACCAATTTAGTTCTGCCAGAGTTTGAAAAGTGTGGTCTAATCTTAAGACACATTCCAATCCACAGGTGTTTGTGTTATGGGGTTGGTTTCACATATCTAGAAATCTCATATTCAATAAAAATATATGTTCATGGTTGAGAATGAATGTCCGTTTCTTTAGGTGCAAGAGTGGTGATTTGGTTTATCTTTCTTTGCCAATAATTAGTGATTGAGGATGCTAAGAAAAATCTCTGGTTGTAATCTCTCACTCTCTGTTTATGCATAACAAAGAATCAAACCCCAGGTAACTCTCACTACCTCTGTTTATATTTTCAGATTTAATCATCATATTTTTACTTGTTTTGTCTTTATAATTTGAGTTTGACAGTTTTATGGTGTAAAGTGCTTAAATGGATAAATATTTGGTACATCCAATTAAATGCCATAGTCATTCATCACTCATTTCATGAAGACTTAGGACCCAACCTATCATGTTTTTATTTTCCCACTTTTCATCACAAAAAGAAAGAAAGAAATGAATAGGTAAACTTGGGGTTACTGTTTGTAAATGAATGAGATGATGAAAGTACAGACTTGAATTGTCTGCTCCCTCTTTAGCTTCTTTACCAAATCAAAAGTACCTATTTATGTGACAATGTCTTAAGCCTTAACTTACCAGGTTTTAAGTGTGCTGTGCTATTAACCTATTCCAATTATTCATCCATATTTCAAAACTTTCCCAGTTCATCATCAAACTTTTTACACTTTCTAAAGTGCGGGCTGGGTAGGTGGGGGTTACTTTAAAACAAATAATTACATCCTTCTCTTGTCTAACCTCTTTCTAACCCCTTTTGAAATTTAAAAGATTGTTTAACTTTCAAATTGCTCTTGTTTTCATTGTAACATTCTGGTCATTTTATTCATTTCTATAATCCTCTCTGTCAGCTTAAAGTGTAGTTATGTGAATTGACTTATGTATACTTATGTGAATTTTCAACTAGTTAGACAACTCCTACTATTCATTTCTCTATTTTTTTTGTGTTATTAATGCACTGGACTCCTAATGTGGGTAAATTCAGCACCCACTGATGCTTTCAGTATGGGAATATAATTTCTCAATATGGTCCAATTCTACTTTTTTATTTTTTTTATTTGTTTTGTCTACTAAGGATGTTTTTACTTGGACTGTAATTTGCTGGTCTGGTCTGGTCTGAACTGGTCTGGTCTGGTTTCTTTGTATTTTTATAACTATCCAAGTCTGGTCTGGTATGGTCTGAACTGGTCTGGTCTGGGACAAATTACAGTCCAAGTAAAAACATCCTTAGGAAAGAAACATCCTTGAGAACTTAGAAGCCTTCTCTGTTTCTCTTTGTTTTTCACTTCCTCTCATTTTTTGTGGGCCAATTGACTGGACGGTTGAACCATATAAGTTACGAAGTATTTAATTTGATTTGGATTATTTTTGGTGCTATTTTTGGTTATTTAAAATTTAACTCTTTAATTGGTGGTTAAGTCATACACATATATTGTGTATTATGTTATGTTTAATTTTTTTTTATGCTGTGTTTTACTGGTGCGCCATTTTAGCACCATTTTAGCGCCATCGCCATCGCCATCGCCATGTGAAATCACCCCCGCGCCATGTCGGTCGCCGTGTGCCGTGACTACTATGAGTAAAAGTAAAACTAGCCCTTTATTGCTAAATAGGAGCATAGTAGTCAATGGTTAGATATGGCGCGCGCCATATGCGCCATCGCCATGAAAAAGTGGTTGTTGCCATATGCGCCATTCGTATATGCGCCATCGCCACGCGCCATGAAAAATGCCTTTGAGCCGTGGCGATCGCCATGCGCCATGACAACTATGAATAGGAGTTATAAAAAGAATTACTTTGAGAATAAATATGTATTATATTAATTCTAACTTTCAAATAACTATAAATCATTGACATTTAAGGAGTGTTTTCATTTCCTTTATAAACTAAACTCATTCACTAATCCTAGGGATGGACTCGGGTCGGGCGGCCCGGCCCGGCCCGGAACCGGCCCAGTTACTGTTTGAACCGGCCCGGCCCGGTAGGAATGCGGTTTGGGCTCGGGCCCTAGGATTGGTGAACCGGCCCGGCCGGTTCGAATTTTTTTTTTGGGTTGGGCTGGGTATTTTGGGCCATTTGAGGTGGTTTGGGGGTGAGGGGGGAGGGTTGGGGGTTAATTAGGAAAAGCAAAAAAAAAAAAAAAGAACCGAGGCCCGGCCCGGACCCGGGATTACCCGGGCCGGTTCCGGGCCTCCCATTCCTGAACCGAGGCCCGGCCGGGCCCAGACCCGAACCGGGCCCAAACCGGAACCGGTCCACCCCTAACTAATCCTTGTATGATAAATGTATTGATAAAGTTTTGTAGGCCTGGGACCGGTTCGGTTCTAGTTAAAAAAAACTTAGAACCGTTTTAAAAAATGTACTCCGTAATTTTTAATATCGGTTCGGTTCCTTTAAAAAAATAGGAACCGTATTAGAACCGAACAAGGTTTGAACGGTTCAGTTCTGGCCTTTTTTCGGTTCCTGAAAATATTTTACTACTTCTAAAATGAACACATTTGAATGTATGCTACCAAAAAAAACATTCAAAGTTGCATTACAAGTACAGATTTAGTCAAACTTAGGCATTACATCACAAAAACGTCCAACAGTGCAAACATAAGTGAAACATTAAAGTTAAAACATAAGTAGCAATGTCTAAACAAAAAGATATCCAAGCAACTGGCCCCCGAGCAAGCAATGAGGACTTTATATTTCCAAAGCAGCACTTCTACTAACATTAAAAGTAGCTAAACATAAAGAATAAAAATAGGTAAAATGCACATCAAAATAAGCACTAACATTACTGCCCCTGAAGTATTATGAAGGTGTTGCAGTTTCTATCTGGGTTATAAATTTCAGGCACCTTGTTGGGGATTTAACTAACCTCTCAATGAATTTTTTAAATATGACTATGGGGCTTAAGGTCCCTAGGGAATGTTCTTATTTTATGGACAGAAGCAAACTTGACAAATAATTTTACCTACTTTTGTCCAAAGTCAAAGAACCTTCCCACATTATATCTCTACATCAACAAATCAGTATACTTACTTCACAAAAACTGGCAAAACATATCATTTCTTGGCTGATCTTCCTATACCATATCTCTGCACTTTCTGGACTTTTGGTGGCTTTGGGGCATTTGTTGCCTTTTCTCATCACGCTTCTCCTTTTTTCCCCTTTCATCATCCTCATGTTCTGCATATATACCAATAAATAATTTACATCAAATGAAAAAGTATATAAAATTAACTGCAGTTTTTACTTTTATATTTTAACATGGAATAAAACAATAGATTAAGTCACTCTTTGCAAACAAACATAATACCTTTCTCAACCATTTCAAGCCACGCCATTTCCTCAGGTGTAGGAGTGTACTCTAGTCCTTGAATACTATCAGACTTTAGCCAATTCTGGAGGCAGATTAAAGCCTCCACAGTTCTTGGAGTTAAAGAGCTTCGATGTGGATCTATAACTCTCTTTCCAGTGCTGAAACAGGATTCAGATGCCACTGTGGAGACTTGAATTGCTAGAACATCCTTGGCGACCAACTGCAGATTAGGGTACTTGCTTCCATTAATCTTCCACCATGTCAATATGTCAAAATCAGATCCTTTAGGAGGCTTTTCAATGGGATCCAGTAGATACCTATCTACTTCATTGCCTATAACAATAGTATCTCCCTCTTCCAACTCCCTATCCCAATCCTCAAGAAGCTCAGCCATCTTTCCACTTACACCAATTGATAGATAGTCACCATTCTTACTGTCAGTACTTTGCTCCACCACTTTGACTCCTTTCTGACCACTTTGAGTACCAAACGTTGAAGCGTATATGTCAGTTAGATTGGTTAACAATTCTTTGTCAGATGAGTAATGATGCTTAAACATGTCCTCAATCTCTGAGTCAATCGTGATCATGTGATGGAAAGCTTTGGGTGAAGTGGGGCAGTTTGTTGCACTCACCATCACAGTTACATCAAAGAATATCTTCAAAAATTTCACAAAGACAACTGCTTTGTCCCAATCCGATTCAGCTGGCGGACCTACCCTTCTTCGCGGTGATATAACTACATACTAAAAAAACTTGACCTGCAATGCTGGCTTCCGGAAGAAGCTTTTTTTGGTGTTGGTGTGGGTGTGAAATCTTTACTATTCATCAGACACTACCTGTTTTAAAGAAAAACAGGGCTCTCCATCTTTTGAGTGTTTTTTATTTTTGTCTTATGGATATTGTATTTTTTATTTAGAGTGCATGATCCACTTTGTTCCTATAGATATTTTTTTTTTATTTAGAGTGCATATGCTTCTTCTTGGGTTGGATAAGAGTATGACGTTGGAGAGAGCAAAGTGGAGGATGCATATTCGTGTGGACGATTGATTTCTTTTCTCTCATTTCTCTCTGTCTTTTACTTTTATCTGTTATATTCTTTATCTTTCTATATTCTTATTTTATTTTTATATTTTATCTTTCTTGTGTTCTTTTATCTCTTTTATCTTTTATCTATCTTATGTTCTTTTTATCTTATCCAATTTATCTCTCTTATCATGGATCGATTTATGTTAGATTGTCAGCCGGCCCCAAAATCTCTTGAGAATAAGGCTTGATGTTATTGTTGTTGTTGTTGCGTGATCAAATATATTCCTATACACATCGTTTCCTTGTGCCCTTTCCTGTTTTTGTCTACATAGTTATTGTTGCTCAATCAAATCTGTTTATAATTGAGCTTGTAGACATTTGCGTGTGACAAGGAACTTGGATAATGGCGGCTAAGCGTAATACTCGTTACAACCGGCTTGCTGCGGATGAGGATGATGAATATTATGGGAGTGGGTCAAGACATGCTGACCGTCGATTTGAATATTCGCCAAAGTCTCTAGATCGAGTCCCATGGAAATCACTTGCCCTTGCATTTTTCCTGCTCTCACTTGGATGCCTTCTTCTCCTGCTCTCACTCTTTATCCTGACTGGTCATATGGCAGGAGATCAGTCCCAGGCATATGGTCTATTAGGACTCGGGATTTTAACCTTTCTCCCAGGTAAAGTACCAATGAAAAGTGAAATCTTGACCTTTATATATTGATTGTTTTTGTCCTATCTAATGTCTTAAGGTCCACAACCTCATACTAAATGACTGAAACAATCATAGCACATAGGTGTGAACCTTGCTGATGCAATGCAAAGGTGCTTTAGCATGAATGCATATAGTCAATACCAATATCTTATGATGGATTATTGGTTCAACCATTACTTAAGAAACTTTGTTATTATGTTTTTCAAACGTACTTACATACTAAGTTCGTTCTTTTATTAATTGCAAGTTGCAACAATTTGACTTTCATGTTTGTCAATATTAGACTTCAACTATTACTTTAATTAAATATGTAATTGTAAAACATATTTAAAAAATGATATTTTGAAAATATATACTGACAAACATAATCAAGTCGCACATAGCGTAATTTGTTTTTTATATACTACCTCCATTCCTTTATAACTGCAACAATTTGACTTTCACGTTTGTCAACACACAACTTTATTTGTAAATATATATAATTACTAGTAGTAAATATTATAAAAGTTAATATTTTGGAAGTTAACATTAATAGAAATTTAATAATATTTTATACACAATAATTTGATGATATATATTAGTAAAAAATCATGGTCAAAGTAACATTTATGAATAGTACAAAAATCAAAGTGTTTCAACTATTAAAGAAAGGAGGAAGTATTAATTAAGAAATGGTCAAAGTAGAGTATTTGAATAGTTTGGGAGTCAAAGGGGTGTGATTAAAAAAGAACAGGTGAAGTTTTAAGCCTAAAATATATGTTTATAATAAGCGTGAAAGGCTATTATCTCGTGAGTTTATTCATTGATCTATTATTCACAAGTACTTTTTGAGTATTAGAATGTGACAAAGTGCAGTGTTGTAATAAAGTGTGTGAGGGTATTGTTTGAAAAGGTAGTGAAAGTTGTCTTGGAAACATAAAAACACCTAATTAGGAACAAAAAATTGAAGGTGTACATCTCTTAGATAGATAGCAAGTATAATAACTTACTTTATATGGTTTACTTCGGGTGTTTGTCAGTTTCTTGTGGAGTAATTTATTGATCTTTTTAGGCTTCGAGTTGATTGTGGTGGACGTTCTATTCCTTTCTAGTGTTCTTCACTATTGGGATGTTCCTGAATATTTATCAACTTATTGGATTTGTGGCAAGCTTGCTTTGTTTGATATATCCAGTTATCTCTGTTTTAATAGATTAGCTAGGTAAGCATAGTAAAATACCCACTCTCATACTTTCCTTCACATTTTGCCTTTTGTCTTGTGCCAAAATTTCTCTCCATTTCCTTTAAGAAAAGAGTTGTGTGGTTAATATTGCTGCTTTCATTTTTAAGTTTAACTCTATCACACTATTTTATTGTGTAGTTAAATATCTGAAGTCGAAATGGGGAGAAAAATTCGGGTCAGTGGGAGTAATAATAATGAGCTTTTGCGGTCAGCTTAATCTTTTAGCTTATTAGGGAGTACTTTTTATTTTAATCAGATAAAAAAAGATCCATCAGCATGATTTGGAAGACAGAAAATAAAAACAAGATCAAGTTGGACTAGACCACTCAAATTTACACGAGAAATATTTGGACCTGAGTAGATTGGATGATATATTAATAATAAAATACCTATATTGTTTTGGCTAGTTTTCAATCTCATCTGATGCATTGGCAGTAGGTATTATGTGAGATTTAATTAGAGTTAAATGTTATTACGACTCTTATTATTGCTGTTTTTTTTAAAAACTTATAGCTAGAACAGCAACTACCAACATTTATGACATTGCAGGTTTTTATGAAACACGCATTGCGTATTATTCTTGGAGAGGTGCTCAAGGTTATCGATTTGCTTATATTCCCGACTACTGACCGGGTTACTATGTTTATATGACCTTTGGTTTGCTGTACTCATCTTCTTTACGCATGTGTATATCAAAATATGCCATCATCGTGCTCCAACTCCCACTTCTCTCGTCCTTTGAACTAAACTTGTTGTACTGCTTCATGCTTGCTCCCTGGTAGAGTCCTGATGTAGGCGAAGAAAATGTGGGTTGGTATGCTTCCATGTCGAATAGCTTTGGCACTTCAAGATCTGTGACTCTGTGAGAGTTTGTATGAAAACCGAGTGATTGGACAAAATAGTTGAAAGAGATGGGATTAGTTGTTGAAAACATAGAGGAAAGTCACTAAGAAATGAATCTTCAACTTCTTGAAGAAAAATACCCCTTTCATCCGGACTACTTCCTCTTTCCTTTCAAAATGAAGTTCTCATCTTTATGAAAAGATTCTTTTTAAAAAGTTATGAAACTATTCTTACCTTTTATCTATTCTTTTGCTTCATATGTTATTGTATGATGCCCCCAGTTCGCCACTAATCTCTTTAATTGAGACTCCTTTAACTGTACACATTCAAACAACAGAAAAATCCATCCCATTACCTTCTCCTTTGAATCAGTCGGTTTCTCTCCTATGTCAGCTTTTAATGAAAATATTGTAACAAATACGTATCAGAATATGCAATAAGTGCACTTGTAGAGCACATAAGTACATAACAGTACATAATAACATGTGCAGAAGTTCAAAAAATAGCAAACTTTTTTTACACTTAAGAGTGCACTTCTATTCATTATCTATCCACTTTATATTATATGTACATTTGCACATTTTTTGACAGTGTGTGTTGTGATTAAAGTTCATATAATCCATCATTTGCAAGTGATTAAAGGCGAAGATTTGTCCTCACTTTTTATGGGAACACTACAAACTGATATTGATCATCCGTTGAATTGATTTAAAGACTGGAATCATACGATGACGTTTTGAAAATGAAATTAAACTTTTTCCAGATGCAACTCTTAACGTTAATATGCAACTGTTATTTTATTGCAGAATAACATGCAACAATTTGGGTCTCAATATGCAATATAAATAGCGTAAAGATGCATCATACAAACGTTTTCAAAATAAACACAATTTATCATATCCGCTCCTTACACACATATAGAGTTAATATTCGAGTCCAAAATTTTTGTGACAATACCTAATTTTGTCCTAGACTATTAGTTTTGTTAGTTTTGGTATTCAGACTTTTAATTCTTTACCAAAATTAGTTCTCTATTATTATTTTTCTAAGAAAAAGGATAAAAGTATTTCCCCTAAATCTTTAAAATAGAAAAATATAACCATTTTTATTTTCCAAATATCTGATTAACTTTGTTTAATTAATACACTTTTTTTAATTCTAATTCCTCCCCAACTACCCAACTCTACCCCCTGTCCCATTGTTGGCTCGAGTCGCATTTGTCGACGGTCATCGTCAGAAACTGCCACCGTTAGAAAATGTCATCAGGGCTCCTTTTTGAATTTTTGATTTATAAATTATCGCTGGTCATTTAATGAGTCAGGTTGCTTTTGTATGAGATGGTTGACTATAAGTCTATTCCTAGGACTTAAGATTGAATATGTAATAACTACTTGGATGTTGTCTTGTATGCTATTTCGATATTAAATTATCGTCGGTGACCTTGAATCATATATGGATGAATTTGTGAATCTATACTAGGATACATATTTGAAACAAGTAATATTTTTAAATGAGATTATTTATTTTAGTAGATAAAATAACAAAATTTATTTCCTAACAAACATATCACCGTGGCAGTTGGAAATTTTTTCTCATTAAAATTCAAAAGTAAATTAATAAAACCTTGTGAAATAATTTTCACTAGTGATTTTTTCGTAGGTGATTTTCGGAAAATAAATATCCTAGTGACATTTTCGAGCGGCAGTGGTTTTCGGCTATAATCGCCAGCAAATGTGGTTGGAACCAGTAATGGGGAAGGAGTGGGGTAGGGGTACGTAATTGAGTGGGATTTAGAATTAAAAGAAAAGTGTAATTATTACATGAAGTGTAATTACATTTTTTAAGAAAAAAAATAATCATATTTTTTATTTTTGCCCACAAATAATGCTAAGGAAAAACATATTTACGAAACTATGATTGAGGTTAAAGTATTTCCTAAAATATTGCCCACAAATAATGCTAAAGGAAAAACATATTTACGAAGCTATAGTAGGAGAATCGCCAATTGAATTGGCCGCTTATACTCCCTCCCTCCCTATTTAAAAAATCATTCCATTAGGCTTTGACATGATATTTAAGGGGGGAAGAGTAAGATTAATGAATAATCTAGGAAAAGAAGTAAAGAATGTGAAAAAGTAGGAAAGAAAACATAGAAAGTAGAAAAAGTAAGAGTAATCATTTTTTAAAGAAAAAACTTACCAAAAATGAGAAAGTGTAGAATTTTTTTAATACATCAAAAATAGGAAATTGTAGCAACACTTTCATATGACACTAATATTGCACATATAAAAATAAAAAATAATACATAAATCAAGTGAAGTTTTTTTGTCGTTAAACCAACAAATATATTAAATCAATAAAATGTTCATCACTTGGCTGAAAATACAATCAGAAAAAAAAAGCAGGAAACAAAACGATGAAAAGTCTTTTGTTTGTCGTCCGCCCTTGAACAAGACTTAGAATCTATCACCTCTGTAGAAGCAATAAAATTCACTGATCTTGCAATGGGCTTACTGAGCTAGGCATGGACTGGGCCGGTTCGGACCGGCCCGAAACGGGCCTTGACGCCCAAACCGGGGGGTGTTTGAGGCGGGCTACGGGATGGATATTTGGCGGACCGGACCGATCACGGGCCTGATTTCCCAAACCAAAATCTCATCCAGGCCCGACCCGGGCCCGATCCACCCCTATACTGAGCCAATGATAGCCTGATAGGCAAACCATACTTCTCATCACTTGACCTAAATTCTAGAATCTTTCTGCTAGGAAATAAGAACACACCCAAAACAACATGCAATTCGAAAGAAAAACACAAATAAAATAAAATGGAATTAAAACAAAATTCACTCATCTTCTTCCAAACTCTAGACCCTCTTGCACTCCATGGCGGCGGCTCGGGAGGGGGACGAGCCTGCCATTCACCCGCCTCAATAGCCATGCTTTTGTATTGATTGACGATATCCTCCATTGATATCTCTTGTTGCTGAATCGAACCCAAGCTTCGCCTCAACTTATCCGCCTTTCTTTTGTCTACCCTTGCCCGTCGACCAGAAACAACAGCATAAGACTAGCCACGACTGCCAAAGCGTTGCATTCCTGATTACGAGTTGTTGGGATTGGAAAATTCTTCTATTCAATATCAGGAACAGAATTACAATAGGAGGAACAAACTCTCAAACTCAACTATTACAAAAAACCAATCCTCACCAATACACTTCTACTCTAAGTGTATTTTACTCTTCACACACTTTTCTCACTTTCTAAAACATATACAAATGAACACCAATTGTCACGCCCCGGACCTACCCGGACACGTCAGCAATCCGCCGTACAGTACGAATAGTCAACCGCAGTCCAACACATCAATACTATACAAGGCGTCTGGAATATCATTCAAACATAGTACATCCATAAACAAACATAATGTAAAATATTAATTTAAAGACAGCGGAAGTAATATTTCAAGTGTTCAAGCCACACTTGGCAAACATGGGCATACAAGCACCTGAAATGTATATTCAGAAAATAATATCCATGAGCATTATTCATATTGTTTTTTTCCAAAACAAGAACGGTAGAAGCACGAACCAAGTCTTTGTTCCTGAATCTTCCCGAACACAGCAGCCGGTGGTAGCAACCTTCAAGTTCTACCTGAAACTGTGAGGTGGCCTCCCCCGTGAAGGGGAGGTCAGTACTTGGAAGCATTTGACAAGTACAATGACAACTATACTAAGTATAATCAAAGTTTCAATTTCCAAGACCCTCAGACTAGGGTGTTATCATTTCATAGTTGACTTCATTCGTTAGTGTCAATTCATCGTTACTTACCACAGTCTAGAGCCCCGCTCAATAATCACCGTTACCTACTACGGTCTAGAGCCCAGCTCAATAATCACCGTCATCTACATCGGTCTAGAGCCCAGCTCGATAATCACTGATAACTACTTTGGTCTATAGCCCAGCTCAATAATCACTGTTAGCTATGTCGGTCTAGAGCCCAGCTCAATAATCACCGATAACTACTACGGTCTAGAGCCCATCTCAATAATCACCGTTATCTACATCGGTCTAGAGCCCAGCTCAATAATCACCGATTCTTTACAATTCAATATCTTAGGATCCATTCATCCATTATTCTACTACAATTTCAACTAATATCTCAATACTAGTCATTTACTCATTTCAATATATTTCTTCATTCATGTGTAATTTGGCCTTAATATCAAAATATCACTTTTATACTTTCATGGCTTCTTCTCATGAAATAAAAGTGCATACTTATCACAAATGGGATTCATGGTTGATTCAACTATCATGGTCTCATATTCATAACATATACACATACACAATTTATTCAGTAAATTTGTATACTATGCAAACTATACTTATATTTAATAGTAATTTCATTTAGGCATTATTAACCATTAATAATCCATGCAAATCACATTGTGTATTCATTTAGGAAATCTCATGAAATTAACCCAAAGATTATAAGCAATATAGTCGGTCATCCTCACCTTAAGTGAGCTTAAGCGCGTTCTACGCTCCCCGGTTGAACTTTGACTAATTCCGGCGAACTTTGACCAACTCCGGCGAACTTTGACCAACTCCAGCGAAACTCCGGCGAAGTTCAAAAATACTTTAATCAAGTTCCTAACAAGGTTTTAACATCATAAAACCTTAATCAATACAAATAACCTCTAAAAGGTTATTTTCCGGTGAACTTGTCGGTTTGGCTTCTAAGTCCGCTTTTGGACATAGAACCACCTTCCAACCCCTTGTTCCACATTTATTAACATGTAGAACAACCCTAGGGTTCTTCATAATTTCTCAAATAATAATATATTCAAGAAAAAGAGAAGAGAAAGGTAAACGAAGTCATTACCTAGCCCTTCCTCAAGTTTTGCACACTTTTGGAACTTAAACGTTTTCCTTCTTGTTGGAGCTTCCTTCAACAATGGTGAGAGATTTGAGAGCTTCCTTGCTCTTGCTGGAGGGGTACTGGCCGAAAATGATTAAGGAGAACGGGGGTGGGTGTTCTTTTTGTCTCAATGGTATGAGTGGAGAGGAAGAGGCCCACCTAAATTTTGTTTGATTCCTTTCCAATCACCTCCCACTCCCTCCCATGCTTCTCCATCCGACCAAGCCCCTCTAATTGAGTGTCCAAATCGTGGGTTGGCCCCCACCCATGTGGGAGGTCAACCCTTTTTGTCCAAAAGTGTACAATCGGTCCCGAAAGTTGTATTTTTCGGACTGTTTTAAATATATTTTATTTTATCGGGTCAAATAAAATATATTAAGTGTTCTTAATCATTATACCCTTTATAATTAATATACCTTCCCCAACTTTAATTTATAAGCCCCCGAAATTCATTTCGGGCTTTTATCTGTTAAATTACCAGTACCGGTATTTAGGCCCCTTTTGATCAATTGGTCAATTCTATATCATTTCCTTGGACCGAATAAATTACCCACCACTATATAAATATTATATCGACCAAGATGAATAAAATATACGGTCTCGGGAATATCGGGCGGCCCCCGCTCCCGGTGTGGGACCCGCGTGCGAATTTACTATACACACAAAACATTAATAAAAATTCACAACTTCACAACCTCATTAACCATTCCATAAGGTTCAATACATTATTCACTTAGAAGTAAATATATTTGGGGACGGTGTTACACCAATAGACTCTCTATTTATAGGTGTATATGGGAGACATGAGGAAGTTGCATCCAAGCTTCCATTCCCATTGCTAGGGAGGTTCCTAGATATATCCAAGCAACTTCCATGAAGGGATGTGGAAGTACCTCAATGTTGGATGGCTCCTTCCTAGAAGGTGTGAGATGCCTCTTGGCAACTTCCAAGAAAGAAGTTGGAAGATACCTACAAATCTCCCCGTCCACCTTTTTCTTTATTTCTCTCGTTCTTGCAATGCTCGCAGGCTCCCCCTCGCTGGCAACAAGTATCCATTCGGATGTGGAATACTTTCTCTGTGGAACTATGCCTCGCATAGAACGTCGAACATGATTACCTTCAGCTTCGTCTTCAGATGAAGGCTCCCCCTGTTGAGGAATATCATCACTGTAAGCATCATCATCACCTACTAAAACATCACTCTATTGTTCAGTAAAATCATGCATCTCCTCGTCGTTGAGAGGAATGTTTGATGATACAGGCACTTCGTCTTGTTGTTGGCGGATTATTGGAGCACACCCATGAAACTCGTTTTCATGAAATACAACATCTCTGCTTCGTACAACTTTCTTCAATTCGGGATCCCACAACCGGTATCCGAATTCTTCATCACCATAGCCGAAGAAGATACAAGGGTTTGACTTGAGATCAAGCTCCTGTCTCAACTCCTTGGACACATGTGCAAACGCCTTGCACCCGAACACTTTCAAGTGAGAGTAAGAAACATCGCTTCTTGACCATTTCTTCTCTGGCACTTCAAAGTTTAAAGGAACAGAAGGTGACCTGTTTATAAGATAACAAGCTGTCAGCACAACTTCACCCCAGAATGGCTTAGGTAGTTTAGCCATACTAAGCATGAAACGAACTTTCTCCATAATGGTTAGGGCTGAGCATAAACCGACCCAACCCGAATACCCAATCGGATATTTCGGATATTACCCGACCGGGTAGGGTCAACCGACCCGAAATGGAAACCCAAAAACCCGCCAGGCTAAAGCCTGGATATTATTGGGCTGGGTAGGATTTGGTTTTTGCCCAACCGACCCCTCCGAAAACCCGAACCCCAGCCCAGTATCCAGCCCATATATATTTATATATATACTCCCCTAATAAACCCTAACCCATTTCCGCCTCCTTCTCTATCTCTCTACTATGATTCTCCGACTACTCTCTTTGCTGACCTTACTCAGTTACTCTCACCCTCTGTTCCAAATCTCTCTGCTTCTCTTGACCACTTCATCTCTCCGGACTCCGGCTGTGAGATGGTGACTCTATGAGGGTCTGAGTATGTTCGTCATTTACTCTCACACACTTCTTGAGTTCTTGGTTTGAAGTTGAAACCCTAAAGTCATCGGATCGAACGTTGAACTGTGGAAGCATTGCCCCTTTTCCAGTTGGACCTTCTGGTAAACCTAAGCTCAGTCTCAGTCTCCCAATCTCTCATATCAGTCACACTCAAGCGTGAGGTATAACTTTTATTCTCTACTTGATGAAGAGTGTGTAAATTGTGGTTGTGACTTACTGACTTGTGAGTTGTTGTTTATTGTGTGACTCGAGCAGCCTTAAATGTTGAAGTGTGGAAGTAAAATATGATGTTGAAACTGTATTGTTGGCATGTCTGTCCGAAACTGTAATTATGTATAAATTATGGTTATGTCTTTGCTTGAGGTTGTGTGTATGATTGTTGCCTATTACATGTTGGTTATTGTTGTTGTAGAAGTTGTGTAAGGTTGTGTGTATGAATGATTTCCAGAATTCATTTCTATGGCTTGATTTCTATGGCTGCCTTGACTGAGAATGATTTGAAATGATGAATGAATTATTGATGATGAAAGAATGATTGCTTCTTTCTGAATTGTCATAGTGGAAGCTGTGTAAGGTTGTGTGTATGAATGTTGCCTATTACATGTTGGTTATTGTTAATGTAGAAGTTACCTGATTGACTCAAACACTCAAGATGAGTAGTTAGAGTTGACTGGTTCTTCTAAGTCTGTAGAGAATAGTTAAGCCTAATGCTTATACTATTCTGTAAATCACCTTGGTGATTGTTCCAGACTTGATTTGTATGGCTGCCTTGACTGAGAATGATTTGAAATGATGAATGAATGATTAATGATGAAAGAATGATTGCTTCTTTCTGAATTGTCATAGTGGAAGCTGTGTAAGGTTGTGTGTATGAATGTTGCATGTTACATGTTGGTTATTGTTGATGTAGAAGTTACCTAATTGACTCAAACACTCAAGATGAGTAGTTAGAGTTGACTGGTTCTTCCAAGTCTGTAGAGAACAGTTAAGCCTACTGCCTATACTATTCTGTAAATCACCTGGTGATTGTTCCAGACTTGATTTCTATGACTGCCTTGACTGAGAATGATTTGAAATGATTATAACTATGTACATAAAAAAGTGATTGTGGCCCCAAAGAATAATGAATGAATGATGATGAAAGAATGATTCCTTGTTCTTTCTGAATTCTGATTGTGGAAGCTAAGAAAAGGTCCCTAAGTTTCATGTAATGGTTTATAGATGGAATCCCAAGACATATCTGTATCTGGTGCTCAACCTCCTCCACCCCAACAACCTGCAGTGGAAGCTGAGAATGTGGAAGCTCAAACTCAGAACATTGCTTCAACTGCTGGTGTTGGACAAAAGAGGAAACAGGTTGAAACTAGATCCAAGATATGGGAACACTTTCACAAAATGTATGATAGCAAGGGAGTCCTTGTGAAGGGCAGATGCATATATTGTGCTAAGGTGTACTGTTGTGAGTCTAAAAGGCATGGAACTTCTTCTCTGAGAATCCACATGCTTAGTTGTCTGAAAAACACCCACTCTAAAGAGACAAGACAAGTCCTATTAACCTTCTAACCAGTTGTTAATATGCAAACCACCTCTCTAGAAACTATTGGGGTTATAGGGACCTGGGTCTTTGACCAAACCCTAATCAGGAGAGCTCTTGCAGAAATGTTAATAATTAATGAGCTTTCTTTTAGGTTTGTTGAGAGGCAGGGGTTTAGAAAGTTTGTCTCTGTAGCATGTCCAAGGTTTGTTGTCCCTTCTAGGTGGACTATTGTTAGGGACATTTATCAAATATATCTAGATGAGAAGCTGAGCATGAAAAGGTTGTTCAAAGAGACTACATGCGTATTACTGCCCATTTCATAGATAGTCAGTGGAAGCTACAGAAGAAGGTGGTTTCATTTGTGCAAGTGTCTTCCCACAAAGGGGAGTACATTGCCAAGGCCCTAGAAAATTGCTTATTAGAGTGGGGATTGAAGAACATATTCTCTGTGACTGTTGATAATGCTAGCAGTAATGATACTGCAATAGGATTTTTAAAGAAAAAATTTCTTTAAAAATGATGTATTGCCCACATGGGGTGCTTCTCCTGTGAGAGTGAAATACCTACACATGAGATGTATTGCCCACATCTTGAATCTGGCAGTCCAAGATGGGTTGAAGGATGCTGATACATCTGTAGTGAGGGTTAGGGAAGCAGTGAAGTATGTTAGGAACTCTCCTTCTAGGCTCCAAAAATTCAAGGATATATCTGATTTGATAGGAGCAGAGTCCAAATGTGACCTGCACCTAGATGTTCCTACTAGGTGGAACTCCACCTATCTGATGTTAAAGTCAGCATTATCCAATGAAAGAGTTTTTGAAGCATATGAGGAGAATGGGAGTTGTTATGGGTCTGATTTAGGTACAAAAGTGCCTGAAAAAAATGAACGATTGATCTAGCTACCGAAAATGAAACAATTCAGAATAATTACATCATTCGAGGTGAAAATGTAGGATTTGATAATAATATTAATTCTTCAAATTGGACTAAAATATTTGTAAAGGGCACAAATAAGACCACTATTATTTTCTTACTAAATAAGGACCATCAATGCTATAAAACTATTGGTTTAGACAGAAGAGGATTTTACAATTATTATTATTATTATTATTATTATTATTATTATTATTATTATTACTATTACTATTACTATTACTATTACTATTACTATTACTATTACTATTACTATTACTATTACTATTACTATTACTATTACTATTACTATTACTATTACTATTACTATTACTATTACTATTACTATTACTATTACTATTACTATTACTATTACTATTACTATTACTATTACTATTACTATTACTATTACTATTACTATTACTATTACTATTACTATTACTATTACTATTACTATTACTATTACTATTACTATTACTATTACTATTACTATTACTATTACTATTACTATTACTATTACTATTACTATTACTATTACTATTACTATTACTATTACTATTACTA